GAAGATAAAAAATGGTCAAATGATGACACTTTCATATACTTTAACTTATTTCATCAACAGAAAAAAATTTTAAACAAGGAATTGCTTAGGTAGGATTAAGAAAATGTATCTTTCAAAATGTATTACATAATGGGAAGACTCAATGAGAATAAAACAAGAAAAGAGAAAGTAGTAAATCACGTAAAATTCTAAGAGTCTAGTATACAGTGCATGTGTCTTATCTACTACAGCGATTCTTAACCTGTTTCCAGTGAGCCTAAAATTACATGTTTCACAGATAAAATTGAATACAAGATTACAAACAGCACTCTAAAGCTCTTGATTAGACATTGTTACTCCTCTAGAGAACATAAAACTTAGCGGTATTCATCAACATTCCATACTTAAGATGTAATTAGTCCCCCAAATTGTTGGCAGTTCACTGTAAATATTTCTTCAACTGACAACTTTTTGGTCTAATGTTATGATTAATATATAACAAAGCACTTTCTTTAAACAAGGGGTAAATAGTCAGACATAAAACAAACCAGAATAGAGCATGTTGCTTATGATATGTGGATTTTTTAATGCTTCCTATAGCTTTTTTTTTAATGGTAGAACTATGTATTTTATTATGAGCAATAGGACTGACATTTCCCTTTTCAGTCTTAATAAAGAACTCAACAGTTCCAGTTTAAGTTCTGGGACAGCAAGTTCTCACACAATGTCGTTAACAAACCACACAGTGTGATGGCCAGTTCTGCCAGGGCCTTCAAGTTGTTAAAAATCTCCTACGACATAAAAAGCATATTTAATCTATGAAGTAATAATGTTAGTAAGGCAACCAGCACTGAGTTGTTTCAGTAAGGTAACCAAAAAAAACAAAAAACAAAAAAACAGAGAAAGAGAGAAAAAGAAACTTGGGTCTAAGATCAAAAAGGATCCTGGAACCCAGGTTGCTGGGTTGGGTCGGTGTTAAGGCACTGATCCAAAAAAAAAAGAGAGAAAGAGAAGAAAATATTATTCACTTCATTTTTTTCACAAATGTTATCTCCTCTAACTTCTTTTTGTCTTCTTCCCCACAACTTGTGTGCACACACACACACATACATGTGCACACTCCTGTCTTCTCTTTCACCTTTAAATTCTGTTACACAATTATGCTTTGGGGACCTCGCCTCATTTTCTTGAGACCCTAAGTATCTCATTAACATTTATGATAGATTAGTAGTCATTAAGAGCTGAACTTAGATAAGATTTTTTATATCTCCTACAATTTCTTGCTATTTGAAAAAATAACTATGAAACTTATAATAGGTTAGAATTTAATTCTACTATCATCAAATATGTAAACTCCACATATCAAGATTCCTAAAATAGTCTGTCTATTAAACTTATAAGACGCTAGTGTTTTTTTCAAACATCTTTAGGATAAAAAAGCCAAGGTTTTACAAAAATGTTAAAGTTTAAATGATATCATATAACTCTTACATTTTTGCTTATTTTTTTTTAACCCTCACCAGAGGATATGTTTATTGATTTGTGAGAGAGAGAGAAAGGGAGAGAGAGAAACATCGATGTAAGAGAGCAACATTGATCAGTTGCCTCCCGTACACACCACAACTGGGGATCGAAACTGCAATCCAGGTATGTGCTCTCATCGGGGATCAAACCCACCACCTTTTGGAGTACCAGACAACACCCCAACCAACTGAACCACCCAGCAGGGGCTGCTCATTTTCTAATTACAAAGGTCACATAAAGTTATTCTACAAGTAAACACTACATAATTTAGTGTTTAAGCAAAAGTAAAAGTTCCTAACGAACTCACTGTGCCAAAAGATAACCAGCCATAACTGGTTTCTACTTCTCCAATTCTTCTTCCTATACATACAGTTGCTCTCTCTCTCTCTTTTTCTTCTCCTCTGTGAAATTTATCTTGGTAGCTCTTCATAATAGTATCTAAATTCTTTTATTAACATAGAGAAGAAACAAGCTTAATAGGTGAGCTATGGAGAGATAACCCATTGGCAGCAAACTGCAAGGATACTTAGCAGTCTGATCATCTTTGCCAGTGTGGCCAGGCTATTGCCAATAATATTATCTTTAGAAAATTTTTGGAGAATATATTTAAATGAGTCCAAATTTTAAATAAGAAACCACGAATTCAAACTAAGATAATTGAGGTTTTAGCATTGGGGCAGTTTCTGTATTTTTTTTTCCAAAGACATTTAGTGTTTAAAGCATTGGAAACTGATCTAGCCTTCCCTGGGCTGCTGGCCTCGGCCAGTGAGTGTCCCTCAGCATTCCTTAAGTCAGCAGGCCCATGAAACAAAGCACAATAACAAGGTTTTAATGAGTGATATAACCCTTCCCCTTCCAAAGGTAAAAAGCATCTGTTTATAAAGCAAAAGAAATGAAGGAACAGGGCTGGAGGATTTCAGAGATACAGTTCTTGCTTATCAAAATAAAAACCACAACAGAACAATTGTTTCAGTCCTACACTCTTCTCTAAACTATTCTAAACTCTCCCCAGATTAATTGGCATGGAGTCCCATCGAGCTTATTAAAAGAGAAACTTCTGGACTCTTACAGCTCAGTTGGTGTTCGCTGTCCTCCCAAACTCAAGGGCTCTCCCAGCGAGGACAAGGAGAACTTGGCAGAACCACAGACTCCCGGGTTTTCTTTTCTGATAGTATTTCTCAGATTTACCTTTAAATTGCATTTTAAAAACCAGACCCCAAGGATCTTTTCAGATGTGCTATATTTTAACTGAAAAGTTGATCCTCATTTATTCTCCTTGTGGTACCACTCCAGTCCAGTTACATCTTACAGCTACTGAACAATCCACCATCTGCCCTGGAATCTGTGACTACTCAGATGGGTTATTAGATAACTCTGATTAACTCGTCAAGCGAATCCTGTGGACACTCTGGCATTTTCAGTTATGTTCCAAGAAGGTGGAAAGACAAAATTCTTTTTTTCTTTTCTTTCTTTCTTTTTTTTCTGACACAGGCTTCCTCCACCCACCCAACTCCGCTCTCTTGGGCCTGCCAACGTCCTGACCTTCCAATCCCTGCAGCAGAGGGTGAAGTTTGGCGGGAGAAAGACCCAGCAAATTAAGGCCTCTGTTCAACAAATATTTGCTCACCCACTCCAAGGGGAGTGAAAGTTTGCTACATGCTGCCTGCCAGGGGTAACATTCATCGACCTTAAGGAAGCTTGCTCAGCTGACAGCTAAGAATTAGACACCTCATATCAAGGTAAATAGAAAGTCCAAACTCACAAAACATCACAGCAAACCAAATAATTTACCAAACTCCCAATTTCACATGAAAGCCAACACATGTCCCATGAAACAGAATGAGTCTGATTTGCTTAAAAAAAAAAAACAATTTTTTTAAATACCTGCTTATGTATGTAGGATGGTCTTAATCTGGTTATCTTAAATTCAAAAACTTCATGACATAAAGCATCATTTTCCTGAAGTTTTACCTGCACAGCCGACTGAGTTTAGACTATTGGGACCGACATTTCTGTCAGGGTAATTTCTGGCTACCCATATCCCATTTCCCAGTCCTCTCCCCTACCAAGAATCCCTTCCCATGTTCCAACCCTCACCTCAAATCACTGGGATATCTGCAAATCTGAAAAGACAAAAAGCCAGAGAAAGGAAGACATGAAACTATGGGAAAAACGTCTGAGTTTTGTGGTTCACACTACTTTACCCTCATTCCCAAGACTAGGGGAGGAAAATGGGGACATAGGGGGTTAGTAGAGGAGGAGATGCAAAGGATGGGACAGCGGGTGGCAGGCTGTGTGTGCGGTGGGGGAAGGGAGTGGCGATCTGTCTACTAAGCTCATTCCCCAAAGTCCCCAGCTCCTAGAGAGCGTGGATGAGCAGGACTAGGGCATGACCAGGTTGCGCAGGCACAAAGTTCCGGTTTTCATTTTTTTTAAATAGTGAAATCACAGCTTCTTTTTCAAACCCTCAGAAGAATCCGAGGCGTCCAGCTGCTATTGCCAGTGACAAGGAGCAAGAGAGGCGCCTTCAGCTGTAGGTGTCGAGCCTCACTGCAGTCCAGGCATCCAGGGAAACCCTGGCATTCTGGGTGACTTGACAGCGATCTGGGGTGGGGAGCTGAGGGTGTCGCGGTGACCCGAGCGCGGCGACCCCAGCGGGCGGACAGGCGGCTCCAGATCCCATAAACCAGCGGGCTGACGAGATTTACAGCACTCTCAGGCGGTGCTCTTTCCTTTCCCCCACCCCGCCCTACCCCCCCCCCCCCGCCCTCCTTTTTCTTTCTTTTCTTTTTTGCTTGACCACCAGCAGTTGGGGCCACCCGGGGAGTGGCTGGGAGCGACGGCGATTAGCTCCCTAATCCCCAAACCCGACCCGAGGGGCGGGGTCGCCGGGCGGGGACCGGAGCTGGGAGCGGGGGACGCGGCGGCGGCCAGCTCCCAATGTCCCGCGGGCAGGTCTGGAGGCAGTGGGTGGCGTGGGAACCCGGGACCTCGGCACTCTGAGGAGCGGGTGGCAGTTCCCAGGGTGGGGATGTCCGCCAAGTCAGGGCGCGAGGGAGAGGAAGGGGGTGGCTGGACTGGGGTTGTAGCGGGGTCGGCGCCGAGAGGGGAATAGCGACCCACGCCCTCCCGGGCTCTCCCCGAGCCGAGGGGCGACGTGAACCGCAACGCCAGCCGCGGCCTTCCGCGACACGGGGGAGCCCCGCGCCCCACGCCCCGCGCCAGGGCTGAGCACCTGAGGGGCGGGGACTCTCCCTCCCGGCGAAGCGGGAGCCCCCCTTCCACCTCGCGGCAGCGGTGCTGGGCGTTGCCGGGGGGTAGCTTTGGGCGGGATGCAGACCTCCCCCAAGGCTGGGAGCGGCTCGGACCCAAGCAACGTCCGGCCGGAGAAGTTGAGGGCCGAGCGCGGGAGGCTGGGGTCGAGGCCCGCGAAGCGCAGTGGGAACGTGCCAAATGCACGTTGGGAGTCAGGAGTGGGGAGAGTGGCCGGTACTTACCGAGTGGCTCCCTCATGCTGTCCCGCGCCGCCGCCGCCGCTCCGGCCGGCAGGGCACCAGCGCTCCCAGCCCGCTCGCAGCAGCGGCGGCCGAGCATGCCCGAAACCGCTGCCGCCACCCGCCCCGCCCACGGCCGCCCCGCCCGTCGATTGCCCCGCCCATTGCCCCGCCCCTCCCTTCTGTCCTCCAGGCTAGTGCTGTCTCGGCGGGAGGGCTGCACCCAGGCGAAGAACCTAGCATTGGCCTACCCTTGTCCCAGTCTGGGTGTGTCATACGGAAGCCACAGGTGGGCTGCCCACCCTTCCCTATTTTTTCCTGACACTTGGGTTTGGGCAGCTTCAACCCCGAGCGGATGTACACATGCACACACACAGATATACACAAAACACAAAAATACTCATATACAGTCACACACAAACTCACGCACATACACAAAGACATAAAACACACACGAACATTTCTGTATTCAGCACACACAGAAACACACACACTGAAGGCATGAAGGGCAGAGGACAGTAATGATGACAACAGCTTAGTGCTTGGATTGACTTCTATAAAAAAAAAAGACATCTAAGAGTCTTAGCTGTAGGCTGGAAGAGACGTCAGAGGTCAGCTGTGACAGATGAGAAAACTGAAGCCAAGAGTAGGATTTAACTAAAGGCAAGAGTAGGAGGAGGTCAGTGAGGATTTCACACCAGAATGAATATTTACAGTCTGCTAACCACTCCAAGTTTCTCTTGTAGCAGAGGTTACAAGGCTACCAGGTCTGTTCAGGGGCAAAAGTCCTTGTACTTTGGACGGCAGAAAAAAGACATAAAATGTGCAATTTTGCTGACAAGTTGGGGATAGGATATTGGCTAAGTCAAGTCCAAGGGGGCAGAAATGGAGGGCAAAATAGACTGGAGTCCCTACAGAATGAACTTTTAGAAAAACATTTAAGCACACCATGGATTTAGAACTGTGCTTACTGCCATAACACCAATAATATCTAAAGCTGTTTTCACTGTCACCCAATCTGAGCCCTTCATATGCATTATTTTCTTTCAGTCCTCACGTCAGTCCTTTGAGGTGGATGCCTCTGGAAACTAAGGCACGGGGAGGCACAGAGTTAGCATGTTGCAGAATCTGGCCTGAGACCATTGTTCTGGACCCTAACTATGAAGAATGTGCAGTCTAAGAGAGCAAAACACCAAACACACTAGAGCTGGGCAGGGGGGTGGTGCTATGCTGTGAATTATCCATAGTGTATCTGAGGAGGGGGTTGGACAGCATGGTCAGGTGCTCAAGAGGCAGACGACTTGGGTCCCCATCTTGGGGGCTTCTGCCTCTTCCTAGATGTGTTGCTTTACTTTTGTTAGGCTCAGTTTCCTCTGGGACAAAATGGGAACAACAATGATGCTAACCTCGTAGGAAAGCCATGAGAATGAAACGAGATGAAGCCTTTTAAGTACTCATCACAGTACTTGCACCTTGTGAAAATGAAGGAAATTTTGGCTGCTACCACTAATGCTTTGCTAATAGTGCTCTGTACGCCGGAGCCGCCTGGGGAGCCTTGGTGGGAAGCACCTTAAAGGGGCTTGGATAGGCAGAGACAAAGGGTATCATCTCCAGCCTGGAGGATTAGGATGAGGAAAAAGAAAGAAAAGAAAATGCTGCAGCTTCTCTGAGAACTTGCAGCTATTAACAGTGATCACAGTACTTCTTGTCATAAAAGCATCTTTCGGGGATAGACTGTTTCAACGACATAAAATTCCCATGTGCCCTCCGTTGGTAACCTCAGTGAAATACCTTTGTGTTGTGTGGAGCCCCTATATGGGCCCAGCCCAATGCAGACATATATGGAGGCAAATGTTTCCTCAAGATTATTAACCAGCCAGCAAACTGAGGTTAGGATGCATTTTCCCCACAGAATAATGTTATATTGCAGGCTTTCTGGGTCACTCTCACGGAAGTTTTATAATGTAACTGAAATGCTGTGTAGTTGCTGTAGAAAACAACATTGGAGCAATGCTGGAAACAAAGCTAAAGCAACCCAAATAAAGCTTAATTGAGAATTTGATGTAACAAAAGGGCTGAAAAGGAAGGTAACAAAATTGAAATACCAGATTCTGGAAAAGACAACTTCACAATTTTAAAGATTTGTATGGTTTCTTGACACTGGCTCTTTATCATGACGACCTCATTTCAAAATGTTTGGCTTCTTCCTTTCTTCAATACTGATCTATCACTAGCCATGCTCTAGTGCTTTGCAGCCATGATGAAGACCATTTCCAGTGAACAAGCAGGATCAAAAAAAAAAAAAAAACAAGGATAGAAGGGGGTGGCAGCGCTGGGAACAAGGAGAAAGGTGGGAGATTTTCGGAAGATTTGGGAGTAGAATTACAGAGAGGAGAGGGGGCAAGGCTGAAAAAGTATGTTAGTAAGAGTGGGTGATTGTCTGAATTATAGACAGAGGCAAAGGACTGTGTGCTGTTTCCCCAGATGAAGATAAAAGTTGGTGAGGAAATCCACCGGGCCCTTTTCCCACACAAATCACCCGTACATGGGCATGGAATGGTGGGCATGTGATATGAGAAACCAGCCATATATACAGTATAAATATGTATATATAATCTTCTGCATTTTTACATATTCACCCATATACAAATATACACATATATATTCTTATTATGTTTTCAGATTAAAGGACATTTCTTCCTAAATCAGGTCTTTGTAACTCAGAAAGCACATGCGTTTTATCTTGACCATTAGAAGAATCACATTCCTTCTCCTAATCACCACCCACCTCCACTTTCATGCAACATCAATCCCCTTCTCCCACCTACTTGGTTTTGGGAGATTTAAACACAGGAAAACATATCTCCTACCTATGTGACATAAAATATACTTTAAGACAACTTTTTGTGTGATGCTGTTAGAAATCCAGTGCCACCTGGGAGTGTGTGCTATTGTCCCTCCCGGGTGCCCAAATATCCCCCCCTTTCCCTGAGTCCTGGAGAAGGGATTTCACAGACTCAGGAAGGAACTTGGACTATTGAGTCATCAGGGCAGATGTGCAAAAACCAGAAAAAGAATGCTTAATGAACTTTTTTTAAAAAAAGACAAAAACCCTTGTTTCTTTAACTTGCTGTTTTTTCAAGGACCTTAGAGTGACCCTCCTCCTTCCTTGGTACAGGGCCCTTCTGTGATGACCTACTAGAAGGTTTCCTTTAGCTGACTTGGATTGTCTTTGATGTTTTTCTCAATCTGAAAAACACTACCAGTTCTCATTTTTTTAAAGATTAAATTTCTTGATTAAACCTTGAAGTGCCTTTTGTTGGTTTGTTCTAGAAAGTCGAACAATAAATACAGAAAAACCAGAAAGAAGGTTTTACATCAACAAGTGCTAATAAAATATTTTTAGATATCAACATGCTGTATATTAATTCAGAGGTTGTCTCATATAATTATTTTTAACCATGAACACTGTTTTTCAAAGTGTGTCCCATGGACCACCTACTTCAGGGCTATCTCCAGGGGTTCCTGGGCCTCATCAACAATGAGCACAATCAAAATTTAATTTCTAATTCCTAAAGTTGAGACCTTGAAATCAGGACTTCAAGTACATGTGCAGATAAGTAGGGATAGAGCTCAAAAAAATAGGAATATTGTGACAAGAGCCTAACAGAATGATTGGTACATAATAAACAAACAAAAAAAGAAAGAAAGAAAGAAAAACAGTAGCCATGGACATCACTGTGTGATGATAAAGAATAGCACAGCAATGTCCCTCAGGAATAAAGTGCAAGAGGCGTTTGTTAACTGTTGGTTAGAAGATTTGACACTTCCCAAACAGAAAACTTTACACCCCTAGGGGTGAAGAAAAGAATAACAAACATTTTTCAGTCATATGCCTTCATTCTAAGAAGAATGAATCTGTAATTATTTGCTATCTCTTTGTCAGCTTTTTCTTCCATAAGCCTGCACGTTAATGGAAACCAGCCTCGCTGCCTCTCTCCTGAGCCCTGTCGCCACTCACCCGAGCAAAGGGTTGCTGTTTACTAGTGGCTGACAGAACATTCCAAACATCCCCCTTCCCAAAATCTACAAATCTTTGCCAAATTCATAAGGAAAACCCTGTTTTCCTGTCCTCCGGGGAATGACAGTGGCTGGCTGGGATCCCAATGGTATGAAGGTGATGCAAATGTGGCTTCAGGAAGACAGTGATGTGGCTAGATATGGGCACCAGGGCTGCTCTCTGCCATCCACACCAGCTAATCAAGAATCAACCCAAATTAACTTGACTATATTCTTTAACCCTGTGCGACTTTTTTTTTTTAATTTAAAAAATGGGAATCCATGGACACCTATAAAACAAGGTTGTTACTAACAGTAATTGCAAAAAAAAAAAAGTGTCTTCATTTCAGGAGAGGTTGGCATATCAGAGTGTTATTGTGTCGGTAATAAAAAAATAGAGCAACACAAAAATGACAGTAGATTGGGAGGAAGAAGTGAGAACTACCTTTCATTTGACATTTTTTATGCATCAGACACTTGGCTAGGCCTTGACTTATGTTTTTCCATGCATATAAGGGTAGCCTTTATTACCAGGGTTGCATGATTTTGAAGTAGTGATCATAGTTGAGCATTGAAGAGAATGTAAATCTTCCATATGAGAAATTCTCTTTACATGTTTCTGCTTGTTTGCCTCCATAAAAGTCCCACAGCATTTTGTTTTAAGCAGCTAGCATAGCATTGATCATGGTATACCTTGGATCAGCTTTATTGGCATACAAAATTAGTTCAGATAACAGATTTTGAGTTCCTGGTGGAAGGGACTGTTCATCCCAGTCCTAACTGCGTTGTATTAGGTTCTGCCTTTGTCTTCTTGGCATCCACATATTACAGGACCAAACTAAAGGCCACAATGGTTTCCAGCTCCCCTGCAGTCTAGAGCCAATCTCTGAACCACCTCCTTATCTAACTATTGCACACTAAGCCGATGTTTTCTCTGACCTAAATAGGGACACGCCTATGGTTCAAAGCCCACCAGAGTTATTCAGACCAGCCAGTTCTGAGCAGCTTTCCCAGCCTGGCCTTGCCTTTCCCACAGAAACCCC